AGAAAGTAATAACAAATATTAATCGCTACAAAATAAAATCAAATGTGCAATTCTATTTAAAATGCAATGCATATCCTCACCGGAACCAGGATGAGGATCCAAACGGGGCAAATAAAGGTTTGTTGCCATTGCGGGACACGCAAGATTCTTCGGTTTAAAAAATATAAATGCTTAAATGGAAAATTAAAAGGGAAGTCGCCTTATTTTCAAGCACTGGGCTGGTTGGGCAAGACAACAAAAAAACATGAGTGATGGATATATTTCTATAGTCTGCATTTAAATATATATGAATGTGTGCGTGTGCCGTATATATGCGCACGTACACACGGACATGTTATACTGAAGATTTCTAAAGTGAAAAAATAGAATGTCTTTCAACAGAATATGAACAAATAAGCACTTCTCTTTTGCTATTTTTTTATCATTTTTTTTTAGAAAATGCAATACAACATCTCTGTTAAAAAAAAAAGAAAAGAAGAAAGTTAGCTATGTAATGCAAAATAAATCATCGTAATACAACACTGATGTTTGTTTTTTTTTTTTTTTATAATGTTACAATAACAATAAGGCTTTTTTGGAAATACAAAAAGATTACACACAGTTCAGTCCATCGCTCCGGTTGCTTGACGCGCATCTTTTGGGAACCTTTCACAGAATCCAAAGAGGCGCATACCAAAGCATTGATACCTCAAAAAAAAAAAAAAAAAACAAGCCCGCTGAGCTGATCATAAGGAGTCACATTTAAATGAGTGCGTCAAATCCAACCTGCAGTTTTTTTGTTTTTTTTTTGGCGGGGACTTTGTTCAAGTTGTTTTTCTTCAGGATGTGCAAGTTACTTGTACCGAAGATGTTCCTCGTAGTTTTGAGAGCTAACAAGCTCTACTTTCGTCACCCAAAGAGTACTAAGGGTTCAAGGGAAACAGCTTTTTAATGCAACAAATGAGTATACAGTGGATCATAAAGGAAATGTTTCAAACACCGGGTTTTGTAATTGAAATAGCCCCATTTTTTCATTTTTTGTGTGTGTGTGTGTGTGTGTGTCTTTTGAAATGAAAGATACTTCAAGAGTCACACGTACATGAGATAAGCAGCATGTTCGGTTGGATTAAAAAGAAAACTTGAATAAAAAAAAAAAGAAGAAGAAATTGAAATATCTGTCACTGTACACAAAGGAAGGCTTCGTGGGCCCATCTTTGTCGGGCTTCTCCATTTGTTGCAAAGCTTCTCATCAGATGTATGTCTTGTCAGATTGACACCCCAAAGCTGGCAAAAAACAAAAAACAAAAACAAAAAAAAAACAAAAAAAACATGGGTCAGTGTGTGTGTAGCCACTGCTTCTTTTTACAGGCACAGCTTCCCACAGTTCTCGATTGACTTTCAGGAGAGGGTCCAGTTGGTGAGAAATCCCATTTTAAGATATGTGATGTTGCTTTTGTCCTGACGACTTCCCTTCTGATCACGTGACGTCATTTGTCCTGTCACACTTTCTCCGAACAAACGTTGCTCATCAAGAGCGTGTCTGTTTCTTTGCCCGCCCGAGACGCTGTCATCTTGCTTGCGGTTGACCGGCGTTTGGGAGAGCGAACCGCCCCTTTCGCAACCACAATTTGGTCATTTCTCTAAATATAACTCGCAAAATATGTTGGAAAGGGCGGGGCGGGGGGAGCGGAAAGACTCTGAACTTCCTTTACATCCAGGAATATCAAAAATCACGAGAGAAAGTCACTCCGTCTTGGCAACAGCCATCTCATGGGTACTTGACTTGTACTTCGTCTGTTGTGTGACATTTCGGTGAAAGTTTACAATGTCTACATGGAAACACTTGAGGTAAGGTAAGAAGTCGGACACTTGGATCGCCCCCACAGCTTGAGCCAATGCTTCTTTTCTTGACTGCGGGGTCTGAGCTATCTTGGCCCGATTGAAATTAATCTGGTCGGAGTGATGTCGAAAAATCTGGTATCTTGCTTTGATGCGTCTGAATGAAGAATGGTGGTGCCGTTGTTGTTGTTGTTGTGACACCACTGTTTCACAACTCAAGTTTCTATGGCTCAGGAGACTGTTGACGGGGTGACAGGACTCATGGGGGGGAAAAGAGATGGCTTTTACGTTGCATAGTGATCAAAGCTTCCTAAGTACTCCAGAGCGGCGTGATAGCAGAACTGGTACTCATCCTGTAGATTGTAGAAGAAGAACATAACACAGAGGGAGAAAAAAAAAAAGATATCAGAAATATAATCTCTACAGTAGTTTGAGCAACGCTTTGATCGCCGTGCCACTAAAAACAGCCGCTTTTTAAGACAGATTATATCCGGAAAAGACATTTAATGCGAGTCCGCAGCTAATGTGCGGTAAAAGTAGAAACTTTGTGGAGGTCATTTAATAGCTACTTGCACTCAACTTTAATTAAATTTAGCTGCCCTCAAACAAAGTTGAGGACATTCATGCACATTCTGTTCAGAGGCAGGTGGTCAGCAGATCCCAGGTGGGCCGGCGCTCTGTTAACCTGCCGCAACGCAGGCGGCGTTTGAAGCCAGGAAGCGCTGTCTAAAGATAGGTACCCACTGTCAGGGCAGCGAGGCATCAAGGACCGCTTGAAACCAACCGCACTTCCTGTTTAATGAGATGCCGTCAAACTGCCTCTGGAACACGCGCTTTTATCCCCCACTGGTCGAGAGGGCTGCCATGTCCACGTTGTTTAATTAGACTCCCCACAGAGGGCATAACCTTTTATATTGCATATTTCAATTCGAGTCGTTAATAATGTGTTTAATTCCAACCGTCTGTTGAATATCCAATAACTTTGCTGACTATAAACTGAAAGAAAGACGAGGCCAAAATGAGACGGCAATAAATAAATATCAAAGATAATTAAGTATGTAGAAGCAGCGCACGCAACTTGAAACATTCAACAAGACGGGAGATGTGTGTGTAAGGCATGGTACACGAAGACCATAGATTGCTAAAATAGATCATTTTGAGTTGCCATGGTAATGGAAGAAAAGAACGAGCCAGTCAACACAACGGGTACGGTGAATCTCAAACCTTCATCTTCACCAAGTCATAAGAGACTTGCGAGAACAAAACAAAATGATTGAATTCCAAGAATAAAGAACACACTAAACCACTGTGATGCCATTGGTGAGATGTTAATTGTGTGTATGGTCATAGATGTAGCTGATAATTGAATTAGGAGTGGGGGATGTAATTACAGATAAAAGGCAGGCCTTCATATTATCTTTGTGCAAATTGAAAGCTTTTCAGCAACAAATTTCTTCTATTTTGTTTGAGGTCACATTCTGATCAATTTACTTTGGACCATTTTTCTTGAAGTTCCAAGCCACAACCATATTGTAGGTTTGTCTTCATAGTTGGTAATGACTTGATTTATATGTGTGTGTGTGTGTGTGTGTGTGTGTGTGTGGGACATCTGACCTCAGTCTGGACCATTGCTGGCCTCTGTGTCCGGAGCATCTTCACCGTCTGGAAGATATCAACAACGCCTTCATAACGCATTCGCTCCAGGACGATGCTGAGGGTGATGAAGACGCCAGTCCTGCCCACACCAGCGCTGTCGGAGAGAACAGCTCACCGAATTAATCAAGCATGGAAATAACACGTAGGCCTATGTACAGGTATACGCACACGGGCAAGTTGCAACATTAGGAGCTCTTGCAAATGAAATACAATCATCTTTGACCCCCTTCTGAAATGTACGTTGTGCAATGTCAACTTCTTGGCTGACAAAGGGCAACTAATTGAAAACCTTGATTACCATCAATCCGGTGGCAAGGTCACAGTAAAGATGACAAGGGTGCAACCAATCGAATTGTGAGATAAATAACCAAAACATCTTGACATCTTTCTGGCTGCAGCTGCTATCCAGAAAGACAGTCTTGAGTCTTAAACCGGAATCCGTAAATACTTCAAAGCCGCCTCTCTAAGCTGCTTTGCTGCGAAATGACTTCCACTCCGCCAATGGAACAATAATTGATATGACAACAATTTTATTTGGGCTTCCTCCAAATGCTAAAGCTATTTTGTTGACTGTGTCTGCGTGCGTCTGCGTGAGGAAGAAAACTCACTTTTGGACCCAAGTGTTTTGAGACCATTTAAAAAAAAAAAACCTTTATGGTATCAAACACAGCCGTTCTGAGCTGACCCATCTCTCCAGCCACCCACGAACATCCTCGACTTTCATTCCTGCTGTATCGCTTAGGCCACCCAAAGCCGCTTCCAGGGAGTCGATCAGAGCTTTGTCACATGGACTCAAACTCCCCTTCCTAGTGCTCCTCTCTCCCCAATAGCATCCACTCCCCAAATAAGAAAGGGTGGACGAGCCGTGGCCGACTGAGAGGATTTGGAGTCTCCCATTCACAGAACGTAATCAGGCAATTAATGACAAAACGCACAAAAGTCTATTAGACAGTGGCTGAGGAAAAGAGTGGAGGCGGAGGGGGGAGGGGGGGGGTAGAAGCGGAGGGCTTGGTGGGAACGGAATAAAGGATGGCTGGAAGAGTGAATGGATCGAAATGAAATGAGGGAGTAGAGCAGAGGATTAGGAACTAGAAATTGGGATGACAGATGAGGAAGGCGCCGACTAAGGGAAAAGGACAATGCCTTCAACCAAGAGATGACAAAGCAAGGCGGGTGCAAAGAATCCAATCTTGGTATCAAACGCTGAATGACACGTACTCTAAAAAGATAAGTTGGATATAAATAGAAAAATAAAAAAGCAAGCGGATGAAAAATAACTCCCTCACTAAAATACTTCTGAAACATGAATTAATTGAGATTGCATGTTAACGTTTTGGTTGTATGGCAGTTCAAGGAAGATGTCTCTTGTACCAAAGACTTTCAAAGAACTTGAAGGGAGTTGTTCGGAAGTCATTTTTCAACCACCCTGTATATTATTTTACCATTGGAATGACCTTGTGCAGAGTGCAGGCCACCTCTTCGTACTGTTAAAAAAAGTGACACATCTATTTTTCAGCATTGAATGAGTTTTCTTTCCTTGGCCCAACTCTTCCTATAAACTCAAAGTCGTGTTGTGTAATTCTGCGAATGAAACCAATGAACACATAAACTTCAAAGCAAGAAGGAGTGCTGAAGGGATTACATTAGTTCCGTAAAAATAAATGCATTTAGTCTCATGTTATTTCGATATCATTTACAAAACTGTGGGCCTTTTAAAATGGTTGTGGATTTTCCTTGGAATTAAATTGACAAGATCTCCACTGACAACGCTTACAAATCTCAGCAGTCCATTTGACGGCTGGTGACATCATCTTCCTAACATGGGGAAAGGTGATGCTACGTTTAATGCTCCACAGCATATTTCTCCAAACTATTTTTTTTTCCATAAGAAAAATGATCAGGAGATGGGGGTTTTCCATTTTTTAGTTACAAAAGCTAGAAGACGTATCCTTCTCAAAGACCATCACTAAATATGAATAATCTGAATTCTGGATTATGACCACAAGCAAATACCAGTCCAGCATCGAGCGTTAATGATGTAGGTTACCTTGGAATCTACACCCCGGGTATTAGAATCCATCATGGATCATAAAAACAAAAAGAATGGCTGTTTTATTTCATGTTCCTCCCCTTTGCAAATGCCAGGCTGCATCTCAGCCTAATCAATTATGAAAGAAATGGGCCTGTGGAGGTCCACAGGATTACCATGGCAAAGAGAGTGAGTATAATACTTGGTGATACTGTGAGGACTAC